TTTTATTGTAAATTTAGACTACAAAAAGTGCAAGAAAAATTAATAATCATTATATTCATACATATAACTCACAATAATTTACTTATATCTGTGCAAATGCACAGGTCGAATACTAGTTCTTGTTCAAAATCAAGCACTTCGAGATTTAAGAATTCAATAATCCGATAACCAAGATGTATAAAAAAATGGACAGAACCTAAGTGTTATGAAATTACTTAAGTTAGTTTAATAATATTTATGGAATGTCAGAACCTAAAATTATTAATTTATATATTAATATTAATTGTCCAAACCAAAATACGAAGCATGCTTTTTCGCCAAGTAGTATTCTGAAGCACCAGAAGCAGCCACGTAGGCTCAGCGCATTCGAGAAATATATATATAAAAATGGGATATTTTTTATCAATTAGCTACAAATTATATATAAAGGTTTTGTTACGCAAAATGTCTATCAACCTTTAAATTCTGATGGAAAAATTATTTAATTACGCCCGATTAAGAGATTTATTTTTTATTATTATGTAAAAAATGAATAATGAACAGTAGATTCATATTCTAGCAATGAATATCGTGTGTGTGTGTGCCTCACAAGTACGAAATTTCCTTAATAAACAATATTGTAGTAAAAATGATTTTGAGTTTTGACTGATAGAGTCCAATCAATTTGACTGTGAATAATTGAGAAAAATTTTGAACCAAAAGTAGACAATTTTTAACCAAATATGGAAATATAATGCAAGTTTAGCATGACACTAATTAGTACTTAAACAAGGCCAAATTATGTCAGCCATGACATATACATAGGTTGGTAGAATATTAATAATAATTAATCACATTCATTTTTCATTTATATCTCAATATATTGTAATTAATTAATTAATTATTTATTTATTTATTTTTTTTTTTGTCTGGAATATTTTTTCTTTTGACAATAATATATGAATCTTGACATTTAGGGTTGTTTTTGGCTTTTTTTGGTTTTCCTGAATGAGATTTGATTAAAATTAATATTTGACTAGTGAATTATACTAGATTAAATGAATAAATTTTAACATGCATTGTGTTTTTTAGATATTTTCAGAGGTGATTATTATTCTTGATAGGATAGAAATATGTATAATCATGCTATTGCCTTTATTTAAATTAAGGGAAAAAAAAAATATTTTATCTATGTAATATATAAAATTACATAGCTATACTTGAGCAAATTAAATAGTACAAATTCATACCCTAATTAATATAAACTTTTTCTCAAAATCTATGCATATGATCTTATTCCAACAATCCCTAATAATCAACATCTCTACTAAGTAAGCTATATCCTATATTGAGAATTAAATATATTTGTAAATCACTCTCCAATGTTGCTCCAAAAAACTACTAAATAGTTAATAATAATATATCCACCTAATTTTTCTTTGATAAAACACATGATGCATATGCTTGATATAATTCAAAAACTCCAAAGTGAATATGTGGAATTTTGGTGCCCAATTTCCTCCTCTCCATAATCCTCACCGTTCATAGGCCCATAATCTTGCTCCATGAACACGTCACCGGGCTCGGCGAGCCCGGGAAAAAGCCCGTAATCCGAAATGCAGCCCGTGTTATAACAACAATTATTATTATTATTATTACTATCCTCGCTATAATTCCCATTCAACGTGTCCAAAAACGACCAATCGTTGTTGACCAGGTCAACCGACCCAGCCCGGAACCTGTTGGCGTGCCGCTGGGCGGCCGCCTGGATCTCGGCCGGGCCGAGGCCCTCCCGGCCCGGGATGTCGGGCGGGTCGTCCGGGAAGTTGAAATTGGACCCAGGCCCTCGGAGGCAGAACTGGGCCGCGTCGAAGGCCCGGGCCGCCTTCTCGGCAGTGTCGTACGAGCCGAGCCATATCCGCTCTCGGCTATTGGGGAGCCGGATTTCGGACACGTAGCTCCCCCACTTCCTCTTGCGAACGCCCCTGTACTTGATAGTGGGCCCGTGATTGTCGGTGTTAGTCGGGCCGGGCCGGGCTCTTGTAAGATCCATTTTTTTTTTTGGTTCCCACCCTTTTGAATTATATTTGAAAATTGTACGAGGAGAATGCCAACTGTTTGAACTGATATGGGTATTATTTTTTGAACTATTTATACGTTGAGGTTTGAAGCATGAGCGCGTTGAAGTCAAAGGGAAAGTGTACAAATGGTTTGTACGGATATGGTCGGGGGGATTTTTGTTTTTTATTTTACCTTTTTTTTTTTGGAGTTTTATTTAATTTG